CCTTTTCTACACAGGTATCTACAAGAAAGTCACTTGCCTTTATCTGAGGAGAGATATTCACTGAAAAAATTCACCAAAACCCTCCTTAAAAATTTATTAACTGATATTCAGGTGAAACTATCAGAGATTCAGACTGAATTAATTTTACAGATTAATTTACAGATTTATGAAGAAAACTGAAGAATAGAAGGAATCATCAGAGCAAAGGAAATTGACTGGCAGGAAGAATGTTCCGCACGCATGAGAATGTTCAATTTTAAAACATTGTTTCACATTTAATTAGAAGTAGCTTATGTTTGTAGTTCATTATGTTGATTTGCATTGTATGATCACCAATCATCAATGTACCAATCGGTTAATAATAATTTAATTAATTTTTAATTAATAATAATTTAATTAATAATTAATTAAATCATATGTTATATTCCACATAAGAGATCAATGTGAAGTTGATGTGAATAAACTGAATATTGAGTTTTATATTTCTGGGACCCTTTAAGCTCTGCAAAACAGTTTGAGAAATGACCAACACATATTGTATCTAATGCTTTAAAAAATAAAACTGTTCAGCAGTCTGATGCATTAACTGCTTTGTTCCATACAAATTAAACCTTTAATTGCACAACCATCTTGATAAGTCTGTTCTTGAACGTCCTGTACGACTTTACACGAAATGTACCAAAATAAAGTTACATGAGTTAAATGTACAAGATCAGAGGGGCAGAAAGTTAAACGAGCAAAAGAAGACTCCATGAAAATGATAATCATGCCCTATTTCACACATTCTTAATAACACTGAAGCTGAAGTAATATACTTAGAACAAACTTTATTCATAAGGTTTTTCTGTTCCTGTGAAGTCCTTATGACAGATTTGGGAATTTTATCAGATCTTTCTCTTACTTTCTCGCTGTCCTTGAGTTGACTAATATGGGTGTTTGCCCAATTACCACCCTCTCAAGTAGCTTTTTTCCCAACAATTCCACGCTGCTTGCACAAGCCCATGTTTCCACATGATTACAAATTGTGTGATACAGGATGAGGCCATTCAGCCCATCGTGCCTGCACGGGTTCTATCAAATAGTGCCAATCACCTGCCTTTTGCTCATATCCCTGTACACCATTTCTTTCCAAAAAAAACCATCCAATGCCCTTGTGGATGCTTCAGATGAACCTGCCTCCACCACTATTCCAGGCAGCACATTCCATACCCTAACTCCTTGCAGTGCATTCCATATCCTAACTCCATGCAGCACATTCCATACCCTAACTCC